ATGCCTATTCATCATCAGATGTGTAACACGCGCGTAGGTCAATGGTCAGATGTGTTTATTAGTTAAGGAAATATGAGTTCGAGTGTTCAGATGTAAAAGTGTAAAGTTCATGTATCGGCTTTTAAAGGCCCTACAAATTTAAGTGGCCAGCAAGTCATTACGCCTTAATGTTATTGTAATGAAAAAGTTGGCTAGTAGAGTAAACCAGGTTTGTCAGTCGTGCATGGAGTATTTATTAGATAAGAAAAGTGTAGACATACCGTTAGGTGTTTGTTCTGATTTTTTCTTATTATATTTGGTTCTTTTATTTCTTGAAGGATAATATATTTACCATAATTGATTTTTTCTTTTATGAAAAGAAAAATATAATTCTTCCATATTTGATAGTCCTTTTTTTTGTAGTAAAAGGTGTTTTGACTACTATAAATTAAGGATCCTTCCTTCTTATTCAGTAGCATCCACAATGTAGCTATTTAACCAAAAATAGATTTCTCAGTCAAAGTCCATATTAAGAAGAAAACAGTTACTGATAACCAAAATTTACTCCACTTTCTCAATAATGTTAGAAGAAATAGAAAACATAATGGAGATGATTAGCAAAGAAAAATAAGGAATGAACTGACAGACACTTCCCAAAATCAAGGCTGAAAACTTGAAAAGTAAAGCAAAGAATTTTAGTAATAATCGTAACATGTCCTTACAAATGAAATTCTTATCCTTATATAGGAGCATATAATCATAACAATTCTCACCATTAATTTGGACTTATTAACGGCATTAATTGAATTAATTGCCCATTACCATAGATAACCGTAACTGGTATATTCATGACTAAAGATTCCTCATAACTGCTTCGATTCCCCTTATTTATTCTTGGTTCGTGCTGTCAGACCCGGTTCTTTTCTCTATGTTACCCCGTGGGTGTTTCTCCCGTACCTTCCTTGCATTCTTAACTCAATTAATTGAGAGTGCCACTTGTCGCTATATCGATGCCCCATGTGTCATGCCTCATCAGCTTACTGATGTTCCACGTGCCAAGTCTTTTTTTTACCAATACAGATAGTTCCCCCACATTCGGAATATTATCAACTAAATATTCGGGAAGTGGTAAGTGTTTATGGCGGGAATTCCTTGCCGCCGTTCCTCAAGTATCATCATGTCTCCTTCAGAATCGATGCGAAGTATGTTACATATATTTAATGCCCATGCCACGTTGTTTCGTACGATTGGATCGGCAGTTTCTCAGTGTTTTTAGGGCTTTTCTGCGGTTGCATCGGTAACGAAGTGACGGTTCCATTATGATGCTTCATAATGACCATTACATTACTCCTTCTTTGTATTCCTCCACCCTTTCTTCCTTATTTCCTTGGATAACCATGTCTTCGTCAACACCAAACCGACGCAAAGTTGTGATTGTTGATGAATCCGCTCCTTCTAATGCCCCTACTAGAAGTAGGAGAGGTGGTAGACTTTGTAGCCTTAGTTCACTATCTAATTGTGGTTCCTCTTCTCATAGTAGTTCCGCTAGGCCATATTCTTCTAGACCTAGGGCTCCCCTCTAACCCTAAGACCTTCTTCTAGGAATAGATATTTAAATGAACTTGTGCGTGAATCTACAGTTACAGAGATGGTACCTCAAGAATTTTCTTTTGTAACTGACCGTGAAACCATGAGAAATCAAGTTTCTTCTATAGCTTCCCTCAACCCTACTGAACTATACTCGAGTTTAATTACTACCGGCCTTCTTTCCTTGGCTCGATGAGAGTGTCACTGGAAATCGAATTTCCCAAATTTAGTCCCTACTGCCAACCAAAGAATCACCTCTTATCATGTCGGTTTCTCTTTTGTTTATACCTACCCTTTTACTTTAGGTTTCAAACCTCCTATTGATCCAGTAATCATTGAGTTTTGTCGTTACTTCAACGTGTGTCTTGCCCAGATTTGTCCCATCGTGTGGAGAGCTATTGCATATCTTCATTACTTGTTGGATCTGGTTTATATCCCTTTTACCTTTCGGCACTTGCTTCATCATTATTCCCCCAAGTTATTTCGTGAAGGAGATTTTTCTCTCGTGGCTAGAAGTAAGAGATTGTTGGTTAGCCCCGAAGATGACCAAGACCATGGCTGGTATGCCCGCTTTGTTGCTGCCCCCACTAGTGGATTTGTAGGTGAAGAAAAATGCCTTTCCCAAAAAATTGGAACTTTGCACGTAATTTTTCTTCTTTTTTTACATGTCTCGAACTATTTCATGTGATTAAACACCCATTTTTCAACAACCATGGAAGTCTTTGATGAGATTCCTGACTTCCGTGCTTGGGTTGAAAAGATGTTAACTGCTGCTCCTATAGACAAAAGATCGTGGAAATTTATTACTCAAAAGTTTGGCTGGAAAGTGAAAACGCACGATACTCTTTACCTTCGTTATTCCTCTTTTTCTTCTTCTTCTTCCTTTACTCCTTCATATAGAATTTTTTTCATCCACCCTTTATTCTTTATTAGGGTTTGATATTCGTGGCATTAGTCCCACAATTGTTCTATCAACCAGGCTTTTCGTGAGTCTTGCCCAAGAACAGATTTTGAGTGCTACTTCCTCCAAAAGGAAAACTGATGAAGCACGTAGTTTTGATGATGAGGAAGAAATATTAGAAGGCTCTTTAGTGAGAAAATCGCGCGTTAGGAGACGCGTGATTTCTGATAATGAAACTCTTGCTTCTTATGAACTTCAATCAAGCTCTATTCCTTTCAGACTCATAGATGAGCCAAAAAGTGCTCTTTTAGTGATTTTCGATGAAGGTGTCTCTATTCCTCCATCTAGTCCCTTTGATAGGTTGTTTGCCCACGGCTTCGAGAGTGAAGAAGGTTTCGAGACTATTTCTGAAGAATTGCCTCTTGCTTCTCTTCCAGTTCCATCTACCATCAACCCCCATGTGCCTTTACCTAATGTTACTCTGGTTGTTACTCCCGTGGCTGCTTCTCATGTAGAAGTCGAACCTTCTAGCAGCAGAACGGAGATGAAAAGAGCTGTAATTGAGGTCCTTGAAGGTGGGAACTTATGAGAAAATCTGGTCAAGCTGATGTGTTGTTGAAGCCACAGCTAGGCCCCGTAGAGAAGAGGAAGTTAGAAATCCATAGCTCGCTGACCTTAATGAATGACATTGTTCATTCTTCTTTGAAGGTATAAGTTTAATTACACTTCCTTCCTTCTCTTTTCTCATTAATAACTTTTCCTTTCCATTTTGCAGATTAACTTGATTGGCACAGAGCTTATGAAAAGAGTTTCTCAGGCTGACCAGCAAATTATTGAATTGCGCACCGAGGCTGATAACTGGAAAGAGCAATTCGAAGGTCTTTAACTGGAGAAGGATGTTCTTGCAGAAGAGAAGAATGCTTTGGAGAAACAAATGAGGATGCTTTCCACCGAGTTAGCGGTTGAAAAAGCTTCTTCCATTCAAGTCGAGAAGAACAAAGACATACTGGAATCCTCTTTGCTGTACAACTTTTCAAGGCTACTGAAGAGATAAGGGGTTTGAAGGAACTCCTCTATCAAAAAGAGGTTTATGCGGGTGAATTGGTTCAGACACTTATCCAAACTCAAGAAGACCTCCGCACCTCTACAAATAAAATTCATTTCTTGGAAAGTTCTCTTGCCTCTTTGAAGACAGCCTATGAAGCCTCGAAAGCAGAAAAAGAAGAGCTGAGAGTTGAGATTCATCAGTGGGAGAATGATTATGAGGCTCTCGAGGATAAGCTCTTGAACACTCACCTCGAGACTCTAATTGAAGCCAACCAGGAGGATTTTGACCTCAATGTTGAGGTTGCTAGGGCTAAAGAATCAATTGATAAAACTCAGCAACGTCAAAGCTTTTCCTCACCTGAAGATGAAGGTTCCAAGGGTGATGGAGATGGACTTGTTCCTGGTGGGGTTGATGTTCAAGCCTCTTCTTCTCAAGTTAATCCCTCTTTTCCCATTTGATGATTCTCCCGTTGATGATGCTCCTTACCTTTTTCCTTTCCCCTACTTTTTGTTAGCTTTTATTTGGAACTCCCTTATGTTGTTTTTCCTTAGTTTAACAACTTTTTTTTTGAAGGTTTGATTTTTGCTACCCCTATCTTCTTTTTGGGGTTTAATGACAAATTAGCACCCTTGCTTTTCAAGGTTAACATATATAAATGATTCGGTTGACTTTGCCTCATATTATGCTCTTTGCCTTTTTTGATATTCGAGCTTTTTCTAGCATTAAAAAATGCCTTAACAACCCGTGACTTTGATTAACATGGGTTTTTATAAAAAAGGGCCATTTTATGTTAGTGACACTGATGAAGACGACGTCCCATCTGCATATTAGTGCAAATATATGAAACACGGAGTAGCCATGAATATAAAAATAACTTGAGAAAGTTTTATGTTTTGAACTTTCAAATAAATTTTGTACATCATTTTCATAATTGTTCGTGCATCACTTTCATAACTTCTTTCATTGTAGCAGATTTTAAAATACAAGATCGGGTCTATTATCCCGTGACTAGATTTTGGATTTAACCTAAAGATCGTAGGAATATGGAATATCTTGCATCCTTTTTGCGAGTTCACAGTCCTTTGAAAAATACAAGGTTTCTACAAGGTTTTTGATTCAAGCTGAACTGAACTATGCCTTTTTGGTTCTTTTGCTTCCTTCTATATGCATAGTCCCCCCTAGTTTTGGAGCTTTGAAGTATGAAATCTCGAACACTGACTCCTTCCTTTTGGTCCATTCACTATAAAGGAAAATATGAACGGGACTCGGAGACAATTATTTAGATGATGACTGCATAACCTTTTTCCATCAGAAAGGTTGCAACCTAGACCGGGAATAATTCAGTATTCCGCGTGCCTTTCGGGTTTAATATCACCATTTGATACGGGCTAGATTTTTGCCTATCATCTAAAATAGTTAGTAAAATTAAAAAAAACAAAATAAAATTGAACCTGCATGCTACCTGACCATTGGTACTTTTCTCGTCTAGAAGTAATACTTCTTCAAATGAACGACATTCCGGTTTGATGGTAGTATCTTGCCATCCGAGGTTTCAAACTCGTATGATCCCTTTCCAGCGATGCCTCGAACCCTATAAGGGCCTTCCCAATTTGGACTCAACTTTCCTGCATTGGCCGTTTTTGTCGATCTGAACACCTTTTTGAGGATGAAGTCTCCAATCTTGAAGTATCTGAAATTAGCTATCCTATTGTAATATTGTTCAATCATCTGTTTTTGAGCCGCCAATCGAATTAATGTCACTTTCCTCCTTTCTAATAATAGATCCAAATTTACTCGCATCTCTTCCTCATTTGCTTCCTCAGTAGCATGTGTGTATCTCGTACTTGGTTCACCTATTTCTACCGGAATCAAAGCTTCTGCACCACATACAAGTGAAAATGGAGTCTCACCCGTACTTGATTTTGCTGTCGCTCGATAAGCCCGTAACACCCCAGGTAATACTTTTGGCCATTTGCCTTTTGATTCTTCTAATCTCTTCTTTAGGGTATTGATAATAAATTTATTTGTTGATTCATCTTGTCCGTTGGCCGTAGGGTGGTAAGGTGCGGATGTAATCTGTTTAATATACAACTTTGAAAGAATTTTGTGATTTTCGTGCCTATGAATTGCGGGCCATAGTCATACACAATTTCCTTTGGAACTCCAAATTGACATATAATGTTTCGCCAAATAAAGTCCCTTACTTCTTTTTCTCGCACCTGTTTGAAAACACTTGCTTCTACCCATTTTGAAAAATAATCTGTTAAAACTAATAGAATATATAGCTTTCCCTTAGCTTGATACAACGGGCCTACAAAATCCATGCCCCATTTCATGAAGGGCCATGGTGAAATGACTGAATGTAACCGTTCTGCTGGGCGGTGCATGTTTTTGGCATATCGTTGACATTTATCGCATCTAGCTACAAAGTTCTCTATTTCGTCTTCCGTTTTTGGCCAATAATATCCTGCTCTTATTAACGTATTTACCAATGATCTTCCCCGCGTGATTACCGCGGTGCCCTTCATGTACTTCCTTCATCACATACTCCGTTTGCGATGGGCCGAGGTACCATGCTAAAGGTCCTCCAAACATCTTTCGGTTTAAATTTCCATGAATTAAACAATACCAAGCGGCTTTTTGATGAAGCAATTGTGACTTCTTGTCTTCAGGTAAAATACCATACTACAAAAAGTTCACAAATTCATTTCTCCAATCCCAAGTTAGATTATTAAAATTTACCTCACTCTTGTCTTGGTCAAGTGCTGAATGAAACAGATGTATCACGATAGCATTTTCTGCATTTGTTACATCCGTGACAAACGCGAGATTTGCCAACGCATCTACTTCTGCATTCTCTTCCCTGGGTATCTATATGGCCTTCCACGACTGAAATTGTCTAAGCCATTCTCGTACCTTTTCCAAGTACTGTTGCATTCGCATTTCTCTTGCCACGTAAGTCCCCTGCATCTGGTTAACAACCAACTGCGAGTCACTTTTGATCACATCTGCTCTATACCAAGTTCTCGCGCCAGTTCCAAGCCTGCAATCACAGCTTCCTATTCTGCCTCATTGTTAGTTAATGGATAATATTTTATTGCTTGCCTTATGACTTCCCATGAAGGTGGAATTGGAACAATTCCTAAAACCGCTCCTTTAAAGTTTGAAGAACCATCAGTAAATAGAGTCTAAGTCACCGGATTAGCTCTGATAAATACCTATAGTTCCTTTTCTTCTTTAGAAACTAAATTTGTACTAAAATCCGCTTCAAAATCTGCTAAAACCTACGATTTTATTACAGTTCTGGTGATATCATACTCACTGAGTTCTATTGCCCATTTAGCTAACTTACTTAATAGTTCCTATTTATGCAGTATATTCCTTAGGGGGAAAGCAGTTATTACGAAAATAGAATGACATTGGAAATAAGGTCTTAACTTCCTAGATATCATAATTAACGCTAAAGAAAGCTTTTCCAAATGGGGATATCGTGTCTCAGCATCTAGCAAAGATTTACTTACATAATAAATTGGGGATCGTTTACCTTTATCTTCTCGAACCAACACCGCACTTACTGCTACTTCTGACACAGTGAGATAAATGAGAAGCCTTTCACCGACTTTTGGTTTGGCTAGCAAAGGTAGATTTGATAGATACGATTTTAGGTCCTTGAGGTCTTGTTGGCATTCATCAGTCCATTCAAACTTATTCTGCTTTTTCAATACTGAAATGAATTTAAAGCTCTCTCTGACGATTTTGATATAAACCTCCACAAGGCTGCTATCCTTCCTATTAATCTCTGCACTTCTTTTTTGCTCATGAGTATATTTGTTATTTTCTCGGTAGCTTTGATCTGCATAGGATTCACTTCAATACCCTTGTAAGAAACGAGAGAGCCTAAAAACTTACCTGAAGCCATGCCAAAAGTGAATTTTTCTGGATTTAGCTTCATATTATATTTGCGGAGAATCTCGAAAGTTTTTTACAGGTGTAGAAAATGATCTCCTAGCTGTGCTGGCTTACCAGCATATCGTCAATGTAGACTTCCATAGTTTTTCCCAGATGTTCTTGAAATATTTTAGTCACCAACCTTTGATACGTGGCTCCAATATTTTTTAAACTAAATGGCATGACTTTATAATAGTAAGTCCCCCTGTCTGTGATAAACGAAGTCCTTTCTTCATCTAGAGGGTCTATGTTTATCTGGTTATATCCTGAATATGCATCTAAAAAACTCAAAAGCTTATGTTCTGCGGTAGAAGTAATTAGTTGATCTATATGCGGTAAAGGAAATGAATTTTTAGGACAAGCCTTATTTAGATCAGTATAATATATACAAACTTGCCATTTTCCATTCTTTTTGTGAACTACCATGGTATTAGCTAACCAGTTAGGATACTTTATCTCTCGTATCGACCCAATTTTTAAAACCTTTTGTACCTCCTCCTGGATTACTTAATTTTTGAAAGATCCCTTCTTCCTCTTTTTCTCCTTGACAAGTGGGTATGATGGGTCCTCATTCAGTTTGAGGGTGATTACTTCCGGTGGTATACCTGTTATATCAGAATGCGACCAAGCAAAGCAATCTACGTTAGCTTGTAAAAATTTAATTAATTTACCTTTCACTTTTGGACTTAAATTTTCCTCGACGTAAACTTTTCTGTTTGGCCAATGTGTAAATAGCACTATAGCTTCGGGTTCATCAGTAGTTGTCTTAATATTTTCATTTTCTTCTGGCTCTTGAATAACATCGGGTCTTGAATCAACATTAGTCTATCCTGGTATGCCTTTAGTTGAGGTCTTTGCACCAATATCCTCAACCGAATTCTGTTGTTGCTATTTCGCGGCTGCATCATTTGTTACCGTGCTTGTAATCAGCACCGGGTTGATACTTCTTGAAGCTTGCTGATCTCTACAAATTTGATAGATTCCCCACTGCGAAGGAAATTTTATACCTTGATGCAGTGTGGATAGGGCGGCATCCATATCGTGAATCCATGGTCTTCCCAGAATTATATTATAGGCCATGTCTGCGTCTATCACCTGGAACTTTGTGTCCTTGACAACTCCTTCCGCGAACGTGGTGTGCAGAACTTCCCTTTTATGATAACGCATGAATTATTAAACTTGGACAAGGACCGTGCCTTTGGTATCACCTTGCATTCGCTTGCATTTCATTCGCCACCCTTAATAAAATGATGTTCACTGAACTACCTGGATCAATTAAAACTCGTTTAAATTAGTATCGTGTACAAGTAAAGATATTACCAGTGCATCATTGGGGGGGATCATCAAGTCATCCGTATCTCCATCATCAAATGTTATATTGTCTCCATCCAAGACCTGGCGAACTCTCTTCCCGTGAGTTATCATGACTTTTGATGTCTTTTTTGTTGATGTATATGTTACACCGTTAACCTCACCTCCCCCCCCCCCCCCAGTTATTACATTGACTATTCTTTTTGGTGATGGAGGTTTCAGGGGTTCTTGTCTGTTCTTCGTATATGATTATCTTCCTTTTTCACTGAATATGTCAGTTAGATAAACCTTGCTTTGACAAATGCTTGACTTCTCCCTGTAGTAGTCTATAATCTGGTGTTCTATGGCCATGATCATTATGAAACTCACACCAAAAAATCAGATTCCTTTTGCTTGGATCTAATCTCATTTCATTAGGCCACTACACCTTTTCTCCCATACCTCTTAAAACTGCTACTAACTCAGAGGTGGTGACATTATAGCTGTAATCTCCTATCCTCGTATGTGTATTAGAATAGTTGACTCGTGAATCTCGTTCCTTTCTGAACCTAGATGAAGAACTCCTATCCTTTTGCCTTGGTCTCGAGTCGAATCGTGCGTTTTCTTGTTTAGATTGAGGGTCCTGCCCAGCATGTCCCATGTAAGGCTCGTACCTATTTTTTTGCCTTTTTTGTTATTCTGAATGTCTCGATCCTGCTTTTTCATTGGTCCTTGGCTGTGCGACTGTATCTTCCTCTATTCGCAACTTTGTACTGTACCTGTTGTACACATCGTTCCAAGTAATTGCAAGAAATTCTCTCAAACTTTCCTTCAGCCTTCTCGTGGCTTCTGAACTTTTCTCGTTGCGAATGCCATAGCTGCCTGGTTATCAGGTTGTCGAGGTAACATCCTCCTCTCCCGCTAGAATCTATCCACGAATTCCTTGAGTAATTTTCTATTCCCTTATTTTACCTTAAAGATATCTTCCATCCTTTTTTCAACCTTCTGAGCTCCCAAATGTGCTTTTATAAATGAATCTGCAAGCTCAACAAAAGAATCAATAGAGCTTTCAGGTAAAAGAGAATACCATGTAACGCCTTTCGTGAGTGTTTCACCAAACTTTTTAACCAAAACCGTTTCGATTTCTTGCTTGGTTAAATTTTTGCCTATCACGCCAGTTGTGAACGTAGTTACGTGATCTCGAGGATCAGTTGTTCCATCATATTTTGGAATATCAGGCATTTTAAACTTTGGAGAAATTGGCAAAGGTGCTGCACTTTGCTTCCAGGGTTGTTGGGAATACTTGTCAATATCTACCCCTTTGATCACGGGTGGCACGCCAGGTATTTTCTCTATGTGATCGTTTTGCTCCTTTAATTATTTATGCAAAGTTAGTGTCGCGCCCCCTTTTTTCCCTCTTTGCATCGGGAGAATCGGGTTTATGACATTTGGGTATAGGGCAACTCGTTCCTTTTGGGAACTGGGTTTTGCATTTGAAGATTTGCCACCTAATGATTTATGGTGCATTAGGACACCTACAAGGTTCACTACTAAGTTGTTTGATAACCAGAGATAGGGTAAGGGCTTGAAATTATCCTAAGGGGAAGGTGTTAGGCACCCCTCAGGATACACTAGTGTGGTTCCCGGCCAGATTGTTCTTTGTGAATTTGGTGCAATTAACATGTAAGAAAATAAGGCTCAAGTAAGAGGGGATTTTAATACACAAACGCTTGGAAGTAAAATAGAGCAATCATTAAAAAAAAGCTGATTTTCTGAAAAGAAGTCATAATGCTTTAAAGGCAAAGAAAGAGAGGGGAGGGGGTCCTAGGTTTATTTATAATATGGATCACATCGATGCAATACCCGGTAATCACTCCTCAAAAGAGGGGCTACACGTGGTATTAGCCCACTGGTCATCATATCCATATCTACCCTTCCTACCCCCATTAAGGTACTAACGCGCGGATTGGTCTCGACCACTATTGCGTGCTATTACCCGTCCCATTCCTATAAGTCCCGGAGGCACATAGGACTACTAGTCCTAAAGTGGAGGGATATTAGATTGACTTTGAGGTTTCAAAGGTGAAAAAGCTAAGGCGACATACAAAACACTCAAGACAGCACATTAAAAGGGAAGCACGTAAACACTGAAGGCTCATGTATACCTCCTCAAGCAAAGCAACCAAAATAGCATGACTCAAACAACAATCAAGGTCTGAATCTAAAAAAATACTAAGGCAAGGGGATTATTGTTGTTGAAGCAGACCAATTTATTACATAACTTAGATAAGAAGTCTGAATCAGGCCTGCCTGCTGGTTGTAACAATTACTAGTTAATAGAAGCGGGCTCAATTTTATTTGTTGTTATTACCTAAGGTTTGCCTAAGTGTTTGGGGGAGATCTTATGAGCATAATATCTATCACTGATTCAGAGTGTGGCAAAGCAGTAGCAAATCTAAAAACGAGCGGTTTGAAATCCTATAGGCATGCTTGCTAAACCATGTTAAATAGGGAATAAGGTTGTTAAAAAAAATGGTTCAGAGTGAAACTGATTTAAATTAGACTGGTTTCAGATTCTGCAGATGATGATATCCATTATTGCTAACTTTAATTCCTGTGGACATGATATCTACGCAAAATGGAAACAAGCAGTATTTTACTTGGGAATTCCTATAGGCATGATCTTTATAAAATACTGATTTTAACATTAAGAACATGATATCTGCTTATAGCCGTTTAGATCCTAGAGCATGGTGCCTAAGTGGTAATAAACGTGCAGAATTTTAAATAAAGTCCTATAGGCAGGTTATCTAGGTGTAGAGTCAAAGGTGCAGAATTTATAATAAATCCTATAGACATGGTGTCTAAATGCAGAATTGAACATGCAGGATTTAAAACCAGTCCTATAGACATGCTTTCTAAAATGCAGAATCGAATCATTCAGAACACAAATCCTATGAGCATATTTTCTACCCTTGAGCATGCATAATTACCCATCCCATTTCTACTAGCCAACCGAGTGTTTGTTACAAATTATTACAGACCAGTTGCTGAATTACATCAAGAAAATATAAAAAATAGGAAAATACAACCATAGGAAGCCTGATTCTGACTTCCTTTCTGAGTTATGGAACAAAACGCCTCAAATACCCCTTGTTTCAAAGCCTTTCTCAGACCTGGGTATGTCAAAGTTCCCTAAGGGTCTTAAGGGACCCCGGGCAGTGCTTACACCCAGGTTCATAGAACCAAATAGAGGTGAGTGTAGTGTGGAAGGGCAAGCCCTTATGTGTCCAAGTTCAGAGGGAACTCATGGATCCCAAAGCAAGGCTCACACAAGAGGGGCAAAACTTATGTCTAAGAACATGGTGGAAGTGCAAAAATAGAGATTTAAAAACTGACGGGAGAAAGGAAGGGGTAAGGGATGATGGGAAAACGATAATATTAAAGCACAGAGTTCATAATTTCATACAAAGGGGTCAGGGGTTTAGGAATAAATTGCAAAGAGCATATACCCTTAGGCAGGGCATGCACAACAATAGAAGGTGCTGGCCTATAAACCAATCAGAACACACAACATATAGAGGGGACATGGAAGTTATGATCCCAGGGGGATCAGGTTTGGGTCATGCACAGCAATGTCCAATGCTGTCATGCCCCAAACCAACCACAGATACCAAACACATTGAGGATGGGGGTTTAGAATTCATAAGCCAT